AGGTCAGGGGTGGGCAAACTTTTGACTCGAGGGCCACAATGGGTCTTAAACTGGACCGGAGGGCCAGACAAAAGCATGGATGGAGTGTTTGTGTGAACTAATATAAATTCAAAGTAAACATCATTACATAAAAGGGTACGGTCTTTTTTTTTTTTTTAGTTTTATTCATTTCAAACGGGCCGGATTCGGCCCGCGGGCCGTAGTTTGCCAACGGCTGTCTTGCCTCTCCCCGTATGAGTCTGGGTCCACAGAGACTCGCTCAGAACTGGAGTTCAGAGCAGTCAGGGGCTTGAGACTCCGTCCTGATTTAAAAAGACAACCGTGTCCACAGCTGCCAGCCCTTTCAGCATGCGCCTCCGTACCTCTGCACTTTACTTGCACACCACACCTCCTCTGAGTCTCGGTATGCTTTTCTCTTTCCTTCTAGTTGTAGAATTTCCACTCAGCCAGCCTTCCTGTGGTTCTGGATGATGTCTGTTTTATCTTTTAGTTGTATTTTTGAAGTGGTTGTGGGAGGCAGCAATTTTCAGTGTTTACCTATGCCGCCATATTGGTTTCTCTCCCCATAAAATTATTTTCTTTGCTACTTCATAACTGTAATTTTGCTGCTGTTATGAATTGTAATGTAAATATTGATATGCAGGATGTATTTTCATTGTTACAAATTGAACATAATTAAAGCATAATGATTAATCACAAAAGCAATATGTAATTATATATTCAATATGTGTTTTCTGATGGTCTTAGGCGACCACTATGAAAGGGTCGTTTGACCCCAAAGGGGTCGCGACCCACAGGTTGAGAACCACTCTCCTAGACACTAGATCAAAGTGAGCCTGGTGCAAATTACTGTTGCAGTGGGGGATAGAGGGAAAGCAAAGGTGAGAGAAATAAGTAAAATCAGAGTGTCTAGGAAAAATTAAAGGGAAGATATCCTAAAAGTTCCAGGAAATCTCTACCAATGAAGCAAAGAAAAAAAAAAGCCATTATTATTCTGTGAGCAACCAAACTGAGTTGGGGGTCTCAGACAATTAGCTCATATTATTGCAAAGACAGACAGAAACTCCCAGATTGGAGAGGGTGCAGGTCAGGCTTAGGGACCCCCCACACCCTCCAGTGCATGCATGTCATATACCAGGCCTCTAGTCGTATCTAATAATAAACAAACATGGTAATTGACCATACCTCTGCTACGCTTCCCATTGGCTAATCAGCAGGATATGCAAATTAACTTCCAACAAAGATGGCAGCTGGCAGCCATGTAGCTGAAGCGAACATGAGGATTGCTTGCTCCAGTGATGGAGGAAGCCAAGGTTCCCCGCCTGCCGCGGCCCAGCTCTGAGCTCCGGAAGCAACAATATTTCAATTATGGAAGCTAAACAAACCTTAGATACCTGCTTTCAGCCGGCGACGGCCTCAGAGCTTAGAGCACCAGTGATGGCAACAGAGTTTCAATTATAGAAGCTAAACAAACCCCAGATACCTGCTTTCAGTCAGCCGTGGCCTCAGAGCTGAGCGAGCAGGACAGCAACAATGTTTCAATTATAGAAGCCAAACAAACCCCAGATACCTGCTTTCAGCCACCATGGCCTCAGAGCTTAGAGCGCCAGTGATGGCAACAGAGTTTCAATTATAGAAGCTAAACAAACCCAGATTCCTGCTTTCAGCCAGCCACAGCCTCAGAGCTAGAGCCGGCTCTCAGCTCCAGTGACAGCTATAGAAGGTAAATAAATCCCAGAATAAAAAAAAAGAGGCTGGGAGCTTCAGTCGCCCGCCAGTCTGCAAACGGCCCTCAGCCCCTCACCTAGACTGGCCAGGCACCCACTGGGGACCCCCACCCTGAAGGGGGTGTGACCAACTGCAAACAGCCATCAGCCTGTCATCCAGGCTGGCCAGGCACCCAAGTGGGACCCCCACCCTGATCCGGGACACCCTTCAGGGCAAACCAGCTGGCCCCCACCCGTGCACCAGGCCTCTATCCTATATAGTAAAAGGGTAATATGCAAACTGACCCTAACAGCAGAAAGACTGGGAATGACTGGTCACTATGACACACACTGAACACCAGGGGGCAGACACTCAATGCAGAAGCTGCCCTCTGGTGGTCAGTGCGCTCTCACAGGGGGTAGCTCTGCTCAGCCACAAGCCAGGCTGATGGCTGCCAGTACAGCGGT